CTATCCATGTGGACCTCACCAGATGGAGTACACAAGAATCAGATCAACTGCATCTGTGGAAAGAGGTTATGGAGAAGTTCCGTATCTTAAGTCAGAACAAAGTCAGTAGCTGACTGTAGAATAGACCATCAATTGCTCATATGCATGTTCAAATTGAAGCTGAAGAAAACTAAAATAAGTCCTTGAGAGCCAAAATATGACCTTGATTATGTTCCACCTAAATTTAGAGACCATCTGAAGAGTAGATTTGATGCATTGACTATCAATGACTGACGACCAGTTGTGGGATGACATCAAGAGCATCTATGAAGAAAGCAAATGGTCATTAAAAAGCCAGGAAAGGAGGAAAAGACCAAAATGGATGTCAGGAGAGATTCTGAAACTTGATCTTGAATGTAGAGTAGCTAAAGTGAATGGAAGAAATGCTGAAATAAAAGAACTGAACGGAAGACTTCAAAGGGCAGTTTAAGAAGACAAAGTAAAGTATTATAGAGAAATATGCAAAGACCTGGAGTTAGAAAAACAAAACAGAAGAACACACTCAGCATTTCTCAAGGTGAAAGAACTAAAGGAAAAAAATAAGCCTTGAGTTGCAGTGTTGAAGGATTCTATGGGGCAAAATATTGAATGATGCAGGAAGCATCAAAAAAAGATGGAAGGAATGCACAGAGTCACTGTATCAAAAGAATTGGTTGATATCTGACTATTTCAAGAGGTAGCATTTGATCAAGAACCAGTGATATTGAAGGAAGAAGTCCAACCTGCACTGAAGGAACTGGCAAAAGACAAGATAAAAGGAATTGATGGAATTCCATTGAGATGTTTCAACAAACAGACGCAGCACTGGAGGCATTTATTCATTTATGCCAAAAAATTTGAAAAACAGCTACCAGGCCAATTGACTGGAAGAGATCCATATTTGTACCCATTCTAAAGAAAGATGATCAATGGAATGTGGAAATTATCAAATAATATCATTAATATCACATACAAATAAAATCTTGTTGAAAATAATTAATAGTTACAGCAGTATATTGACAAGGAACTTCCAGAAAGGCAAGCTGGATTCAGAAGAGGATATGGAACAAGGAATATAATTGCTGTTGTCAGATGGGTCTTGGCTGAAAGCAAAGAATACCAGAAAGATGTCTACTTGTGTCTTATTGACTATGCAAAGGCATTCAACTGTGTGGACCATAACAAATTACAGATAACATTGAGAAGAATGGGAGTTCCAGAACACTTAATTGTTCTCATGAGGAACCTATACATACACCAAGAGGCTGTCATTCAAACATAACAAGGGGATACTGCGTGGTTTAAAATCAGCAAGAGTGTACGTCAGGATTGTATCCTTTCACCATATTTATTCAATCTATATGCAGAGCAAATAATCTGAGAAGCTGGACTATATGAAGAAGAATAGGGCATCAGGATTAGAAGAAGAACCATTAATAACCTGCAACATGAAGATGACACAAACTTGCTTGCTGAAAGTGAACGTGACTTGAAATACTTACTGATGAAAATCAAAGACTATAGTCTGTATGGATTACACCTCAACATAAAGAAAACAAAAATCCTCACAACTGGACCAATAAGAAATATTATGATAAACAGATAAAGGATTGAAGTTGTCAGGGATTTCATTTTACTTGGACCCACAGTCAGCACCCAAGGAAGCAGCAGTCAGGAAATCAGATGTCATATTGTACTGGGAAAATCTACAGCAAAAGACCTATTTAAATTGTAGAAACATTTTGAAGACTAAAGTGTGCCTAACCCAAGCCATGGTATTTTCAACAGCTTCATATGGATGTGAAAGCTGGACAATGAATAAGGAAGACCAAAGAAGAGTTGATACCTTTAAATTGTGGTGTTAACGAAGAATACCGGAAATATCACTGCCAGAAAAATGAACAAATCTGTGCTGAAGGAAGTTAAACCAGATTGCTCCTTGGAATCAAGAATGGTCAGATTCCATCTCACCTACTTTGGTCATTCACCTACTTTTCCCATTCTTCTCAATGTTATCTGTAATTTGCCTTTAGAAGCAGAGGGTCAGCAAAGAAGCGGAAGACCCTCAGTGAGATGGATTGACAAAATAGCTTCGATGATGGGCTCACACAAAGCAAGGATTGTGACGACGACATAGGACTGAATGTTGTTCTGTTACAGGTAGAGTCGCTATGAGTCAAGAGCTGACTCAATGGCAGCTAACAATGTGTGTCTCTGTCTGTGTGTATGTGAGTGCGTGTATAAGTGTCTCTCTGTGTGTACACGTGTTCTAACCTCTCCTCATCTCAGTGTTCTTATTCTTTGATGGGATTTTTGAGCAGCCTTTACAGTGACTTGAAATAAATTGGCTGGAATCACAGGTCACATGTAATGGTCAACCTGGATTGCAAAATCACTGGCTATCATTCACTCACAGGACACTTAGCAAATGATATATTGTCATCAAGGAACCTACTCAGAATAAAATTTTTTGAGAGCAGCATCGACTCAAAAAGCAAGCAAGCAATGTACATTTATTGTTGGAGCAAAAAAAAAAAAAAAAAGTATAAACTTTAGTTTTCTTATCTGTTACTTCAACCTGGACTATCAATTCAATTCAGAATAACATATTGTCAAAACTAGAAAAGACCAAAGGAGAGGGGGAAGACCCATTCCTTTTATTTGAAGCAGGGAAAATGGGGGCTCTCTAAGGTGTTTCTTGCCTAAAACTGTAATGTGTATGATACTTCCAGTGGCCAGGAGGGGGTGCTAGATGTTAGTGAATGTGATCAAAATCCCTTACTTTGAAAACAAGAAGCACAACATTGAAAACAAATATAAAGTTTAACATCACATTTTGTATTAAAATCAATCCCTAATCATAAGCACCCAAGTAGGTTACTTAGGGCATGGGCTTTGAAGACTGACTGACTCAGTTCAAGTTCTGGATGTGTTCTATACTAGCTAGGTGACCTCACATAAGTTTCAATATCATCTGCAAAATGGGGAAAAATAACACCTACTTTATACTGTGAGGAAGGAATAAATATTCACAATGCTTGGCATTTAATAAAAGGTATTTATTATCATTTAATGGATAAAAAGGAGCTCTGGTGGTTAAAGCATTCCACTGCTAACCAAAAGGTCAGCCATTTGAACCCACCAACCACTCCACAGGAAAAAGATGAGGCAGTCTTTAGTCTGGATTTTTTTTTTTTTTTTTTTTTTAGTGGGTATAATGGATAGAGGATTTCTGTTATGGCCTCAAAAAAATTAGCCTTTTATGAAAAGTCATTCATCGGTTATTAAAAGTCCTAAAAGAAATTTCTACTACTTTTTCTACTTTTGAAATTTCTATTATGATTAATTATATAAATAATATTCAAGAGTATCTTATGTTCTTTTTTTCTTCCCTCTGATATCTCTCAATACGAACTCAAAGACAGTTTGAAACCCAGAACTGTATATCAGGTGCAGACACAGAGAACTCCAAGAAAAATTCTCTATTTTTGGGAAAGAGACTCTCTATGGACCAGAGTCCCTAGGTGGTGCTAACAGTTAACATACTTGGCTTCTAACCAAAAGGTTGAGTTTAGAGTCCACCCAGAGACACCGGGGAGGAAAGTTCTGCAGAACTACTACCTAAAAATCAGCCATCCCTTAGAGAAATAGACCATAGGACACCAGAGGACCAACATTCAAGCTGAGGAAATGGAGGACAAACAGGAATGCATAATTATGAGGGGCACAGCGGGTGGGTTGCAGGGTGGGGAGGGGAGGAGACTGGGTTACGGTTGGACATGGTGAATGGGGAATGAAACTAAATGTACACATGACATTGAATGTAAAACAAGCTCTTAAAATAAAATAATAATTTTTAAAAAATCAGCCGTTGAAAACCCTATGGAGCATAATTCTATTCTGACACACATGGGATCATCAGAAGTCAGAGACATGGCTACTGGTTTGTTTCTTGTTTAGAAAGACCAGAAAGTCCTGTTTTTGTTTGTTTGCTTGTTTGGTTTTGTTTGTTTTTCCATTCCTTCCCAACCCAGTCATAACAACAGCAAAACAAAAAATCAAACTCACTGCCGTTAAGTCGAATCCAACTCATGACCTCCTTGGGTTTCCAAAGTGGTATCTCTACAGAAGTAGATTGCCCAGTCTTCTTTCTAAGGAGTGGCTGGTGGGTTTGAACCACCCGCCTTCTGGTTAGCAGTCAAATACTTAGGCACTACTCCATCACTGCATCACATGGATTCTGACTCATAGTGACTCCCATTGGGCCTCCCAGGCTGTAAATCTTTATGAAAGTAGACTGCCTCATCTTTCTTCGGCAGAGCAGCTGGGGAGTTTGAACCACCGACATTTTCTTTAGCAGCCAAATGACTAAATAGGAGCCTAAAAGTCTGAGTACAAATTTCTCTTATGATAGAAACTGGTTCTATGTGTGTGGAGAGAATCCTGGTGTTTTTTTCTCTCTTTATCCTCTCATATCTCTACCTTGGATGCAGACATAGTGTCAGAAAGTACAATGCAGAGCAAGTGACTGAAGTTCCAAGTCTCCAGCCAGAGGACAGGAGGGTAGGGGGTCATGTGAATTGGAAAGTATTGAGGAGATTGCATAGAGGAGGGATATTTAGAATGGTATTTGAACTTTGTTCACCCCTTTTGGAGAAAGACCACTCACAGCCTGCCACAGGAAGGCATTCAAGAAACAGGGTGAATCAGAGAGGCCTGGGCTCCTCCCCCAGGCCTACCCCATCATTTCACCCCCAGCACCCCCACTACTTTTGTACTTATAGCTTGGTAATCTTCTAAGACAGATCCTAAGTTTCTTTTCTGTGCCTGTGACATCAGTTAGAAAGATCAGCTCTATCTCATTGTCTTCTCCTCTAGGAATGACGCTCTTTTTGAGTTGAACTTGAGTTTCCCAAGTGTATTTTTTTCCTCTTACCATCATCATCATCATCCCTTTTCTTTAAGGCCCAAGACAAGAAGGTATGCTGTGGTATCCGACCCTCCTCTTAGTTTTCCTGGCCCCTGGTAAGTATTTCACAAATGCTGAAGGGGTTTTTTGTTTTGTTTTGTTTTTAATGGAAGCCATAGTAGGAAATTTCTTTTACCTCTTCTTCAATATTTTTAGTTGTTGTTGTTCTCATTGTAGCAAGTCAGAAAGCTTCCAACTTAAAAATGAGATCAGTCACCAAGGAGACTGGGACATCTGTCATGATCACTTGTGATATTCTTGATCAGAAAATCAACTACATCCACTGGTACCGGTACCAAGAGGGAAAGGCCCTGCAACGCCTGCTTTACTATAACTTCCCCAAGAAACAAGTGGTGGTGGACTCAGGATTCCGTGCTGAGAAATATACTGCTTATGAAGGCCTAGAAAGGAGCTGTAAATTTGTAGTCAGAAATGTAGAAAAAAGTGATTCTGGTGTGTATTACTGTGCCACCTGGGACATGCACAGTTATTCAGACCTCCCTCAATCTACACTTAAAACTTTTGCTTGTGGCTGCTAACAGACCTGGTACACAAGACAGACAAGCTCTTGTCTCCTTACTTTCTGCCCCTGATTTCACTGCATTCTTAAGAATGAGAAACCTTGGGCTCAATACCTAACCCTCATCCTCCTGTTCTTCAAAAAGCTGCTTTTACCCCTCAGCCATGTTGTGTTATTGTTGTTAGGTGCCGTCGAGTCATTTCTGACTCATAGCAACCCCATGTACAGCAGAACAAAACACTGCCCAATCCCGCGCCAGCTCCATGATCCGTGCTATACTTGAGCCCATCATCACAGCCACTGTGTCAATCCATCTCGTTGAAGACCTCCCCCTCTTTCATCAACCCTCCACCCAACCAAGCAAGACATCCTTCTCCAGGGAATGGTCTCTTCTGACAACATGACCAAAATAGGTGAGACGAAGTCTGGCCATTCTCTCTTCCAAGGAACATTTCAGCTGCACTTCCTCCAGGATAGATCTGTTAGTTCTTTCAGCAGTCCATGGTACTTTCAGCATTCTTCACCAGCACCACAACTCAAAAACATCAACCCTTCTTTGGTCTTCCTTATTCATTGTCCAGAACTCACATGCATATGAGGCAATTGGAAACATCATGGCTTGTGTCAGGCACACTTTAGTCCTCAAGGAGATATCCTTGCTCCTCAGCACTTGAAACAGTTCCTTCATGTTGACTTTCCCAATGCTACATGTCTTCTAACGTCCTGACTGCTACTTCCATTGGCATTGATTGTAGAACAAAGCAACATGAATTCTTTGACAACCTCTATCTTCTCTCTGTTTATTGTGATGCTGGTCATTGGTCCAGTTGTGAGGATTTTTGTTTTCTTTATATTGAGACATAATCCATACTGCAGACTATATTCTTCAACCTTCATCGGTAAGTGCCTCAAGTCATCCTCACTTTCAGCAAGCAAAGTTGTATCGTCTGCATATCTCAGGTTGTTAATGATTCTTCCTCCAATCCTGATGCCACATTTTTCTTCATATAGTCCAGCTTCTCGGATTATTTGCTCAGCATATAGATTGAATAAGTGTGGGGAAAGGATACAACCCTGACACACTCCCTTCTTGATTTTAAATCATGTAGTGTTCCCTTGTTCCGTTCGAATGACAGCCTCCTGGTCAAGGTAAAGTTTCCTCATGAGTACAATCAAGTATTCGGGAATTCCCATTCTTCTCAATGTTATCCATAATTTGCCATGATCCACACAATCAACTGCCTTTACATGGTCAATAAAACACAAGTAGACATCTTTCTGGTATTCTTTGCCTTGAGCCAAGATCCATCTGACAACAGCTATGATATACCTTGTTACACATCCTCTTCTGAGTCCAGCTTGCACCTCTGGAAGTTCTCTGTCAATATACTGCTGCAAACGTTTCTGAATTATCTTCAGTAAGATCTTACTTGTGTGCGATATTAATGATATTATTCTATAATTTCCACATTCTGTGGGATCACCTTTCTTTAGAATGGGCACAAATATGGATCTCTTCCAGTCAGTTGGCCAGGTAGCTATCTTCCAATTCTCTTGGCATAACTGAGTGAGTGCCTCCAATGGGGCAGCTGTTTGTTGAAATATCTCAATCGGTATGCCATCAATTCCCGGAGCCTTGATCTTCACCAGTTCTTTCATTGCAGCTTTGACTTCCTCCTTCATTACCATTGGTTCTAGATCATATGCCACATCCTGAAATGGATGAAGATCAACCAGTTCTTCTTGGTACAGTGACTCTATGTATTCCTGCCATCTTCTCTTGATGTTTCCTGCATCATTCAATATTTTGCCCATAGAATCTCTCAATATTGCAACTCGAGGCTTAAATTTTTTCTTCAGTTCTTTCAGCTTGAGAAATGCTGAGTGTGCTCTTCCCTTTTGGTTTTCAAACTCCGGGTCTTTGCACACTTCATTATAGTAATTGGTTTTGTCTGCTCGAGCTGCTCTTTGAAATCTTCTGTTCACTCCTTTATCTTGTCATTTCTTCCATTGGCTTTAGCTACTCTCCGCTCAAGGGCAAGTTTCAGAGTCTCTTCTGTCATCCATTTTGGTCTTCTCTTCTTTTCTCATCTTTTTAGTGATCTCTTGCTTTCTTCATGGATAATGTTCTTGATATCCTCCCACAATTCTTCTGGTTTTCGGTCATTGGTCTTCAATGCATGAAATCTATTCTTTAGATGATCTCTAAATTCAAGAGGGATATATTCAAGATCATATTTTGATTCTCTTGGACTTGTTTTAATTGTCTTCAACTTCAAGTTGAACTTGCATATGAGCAGTTGATGGTCTGTTGCACAATCAGCTCCTGGCCTGGTTTTGGCTGAAGATATTGAGCTTTTGCACTGCCTCTTGCCACAGATGTAGTCAAACTGATTCCTGTGTGTTCCATCTGGTGAAGTCCATATGTAGAGCCACCATTTGTGTTATTGAAAAAAGGTGTTTGCAATGAACAAGTCATTGGTCTTGCAAAATTCTACCATGCAAGTTCCAGCATTATTTATATCACCAAGGCCAAATTTTCCAACTACCGGTGATTCTTCTTTGTTTCCAACTTTTGCATTCCAGTCACCAGTGATAACTAACACATCCTGATTGCATGTTCGGTCAATTTCAGACTGCAGAAGTTGATAAAATTCTTCAATTTCCTCATGTTTGGCTTTGGTGGTTGGGGCATAAATTTGATAGTCATATTAACGGGTCTTCCTTGTAAGCATATGGATATTATTTTATCACTGACAGCATTGTACTTCAGGACCGATCTTGAAACATCCTTTGTTATGATGAATGCCACACCATTCCTCTTCAAACTGTCCTTCCCGGCATAGTAGATCACAAGTTTGTCTGATTCAAAATGGCCAAAACCAGTCCATTTCAGCTTACTAATTCTGATGATATCAATCTTTATGCATTCCATTTCATTTTTGACAACTTCCAGTTTTCCTAGATTCATACTTCATACATTCCATGTTCTGATGATTAATGGATGTCCACAGCGGTTTCTCTTCAATTTGAATGGTGCCACATCAGCAAATGGAGGTCTCGAAAGCTTTGCCTTATCCATTTGAGTAAGGCTGGGTTTACTCAGATGATGCAGCTCTTTCCCAGTCCTATTTTGAGAGCCGTCTAACCTAACCAGACTATTCATAAAGTTGTGTGATAATGTATCAAACAGTGTTTCTTTGCTATTCATAAGATTTTCCCTGGCCAATTCTTTGAGAAGTGCACGGCCTCTTCCTTCTTCCTAGTCTGTCTCAGCCTGTAAGCTGGGGTGATACCTGTGCACCATGTGCATCCTGCTGGGTTTGAAACACCAGTAGCTCAGCCTCAAAACTCACATCAACATGTCACCATGGTAGGACAAACCGACAGACGAGTTTGTCTCTCTGTTGGAAACCCTCAGCCATAGGGTCTTCCTAAAGACAAAATTAAGATCTTCACATCTTAGCCAAACAGTCTGGATGACAATAGAGTTCTTTTGGTCTTTGGGGAGCTGGTGGAGCACTACTAATCTGCTTCCTAGGGCAGACAAGTTCACCTGGGGTTGACCTGTTAAGGAAGATATTTTGGAAAATATTATAGGTAGGCACTCAAAATACACAGTAACTGAAACAATGGACTCAAGCATACCAATTAACCTGTCAATGGTGCAGGACAAAGCAATATTTCCTTCTGTTGTACATGGAGTTGCCTTGAGTTGGAATGGACAGTATGGCAGCTAACACAAAAACACAGGTAAGCTAGTTTGCTGAATTGTTTATCCAGTTATCATCCAGAGATAGGAGGAGCTCTGGTAGCACAGTGCCTAAGGCAACTAACTGCTAACTGAAAGGTTGGTGACTCAAACCTAACATCCACTCTGCAGAAGAAGAACTGGGCAATCTGCTTCCACAAAGATTTACTGCCTGGGAAACCCAATGGGGTCGCTATGAGTTGGAACTGACTTGCCAGCAGTGGGTTTGTTTTGTTTTTTATCCAGAGATAATGGCTGGAAGTGTTTTTTAATTTATTTCCCAAGAGTATGGGAGCTCTGGTGGCATAGTGCCTAAGGCACTTGACTGCTAACCAGAAGTTTGGCGATTCAAACCTACCAGCCACTCCTTAGAAGGAAGATTCGGCAATCTACTTGCATAGTGATGATGCCTCAGAAACCCAAGGAGAGGTCGCTATGAGTCGGAGATGACTTGATAGCACATAACAGCAACAACATGAGAAATGATGGAATGAAACTTTTGGACTTCATGAAGACCTCAAGCAGTTGTCTTTTGAACAAAGTGATATGTTCCATTTAAGTAACCATGGTACTATTAGCATGATTGGTAATCTAGTGAAAAAGTAAACAGTTGGTTGGAAAATGTGCCAATCGTTGTTTCCTGCTTACATCTTCTTTTGAGGTCATCTGTCCCAGCTCATAGCCAGAACTGTTCTGTTTTAAATAAGGAAAACTCTCCCCAACATTGAGACAACCAAGTTATAAATTGAACTTAGTATACCTGAGGGTTTTTTTCCAATAATTAAAACTAAGAGACACTTAAGGCAACAGATAATAAATAGTACGTAGTTATTATAAGAAGCAATAAGCTCATAAACGCAACCAGGAAGCTCTGATCTCTTAGAGCCATGGTGACGGCTAATAGACCACAGTGTTAGGGGCAAGATAAATGTTCAGTCAACAATGGTATTGCTTCTATATGAAATTAGAACATATCAAGAGAGGATGAGCAAAAGGCTGATGCCAGCAGCCCCAGTTCTCAAATTCAAAGTCCTTTAAATGAAAGAGAGGTCCAGTTCCCTTAAAGAAGAACCCAACAAGTATATATAATAGTGATTCCTCCAGTCTTTCCCAGGGGCCTCTGTGGCCATCTACTTCGGTAACTGTACACTGAGGTCAGGAGAATTCCCAGATCTTTCAAGGGCTATTGGAGACAGGACCTGAGCTAATATTGAT